TAAGGTTAACAAATGCAATAGTATTAGAAAAAAAGATTAACACTCATGCCAGCAGGCAGTAAACCAGTCATAGCAGGTTGGAGTAGTGCTTTAGTGGTTTCATATCACATGAGACCATCCATCCATTCTTTGGGGAACTTTCTGTTTCTTTTTTTTCCCCAGCAGTTAATCCCTCCTTGTGAAAATGAAGGCGCTCACACTGAGAGTAATGACAGACAAAAATGAAATCATCTCAGGGAGGAGGTAGTTTTCACAGATTCTGAAGGGTCACTCAGTAGGTGCCAAGCAGCGTTCAAATATTGCATCCAGTAATTAGCAACTGTAATTAGTCCTCAGATGTGTGCTTCCTTGGCCCGCTGCTAAGTATCCCATGGTCCCCTGCCATATGTCGGTCAGTGTGGGGACCCTTTGAGAAGCTCAGCTGTTTAATTGCTGCCCGGAGTGGAGAAACGATGGTGGAGGCGAGACTGAGGTCTGTTCTGGTATCCAGGCAACAGCTCCCTTACTCCTTCCTGACCACTACTGATTCTCAGCTTATTCCCATGCCCTGTCCCTTCATTCACTGCGCCCCTCCTTCCATCCATATCGCCATCAGCCCCCACCCCACCCAAACCCAGCCAACCAGCTTATTGCACTAGCCACCACCAGCACTAACAGACAGTCCCATGCCATATGAACTCTGTCAAATTTTAACTAGTATTCATGTCTTTGATCTGTGATGCTAAGATGTTAGTTATCCAATTATGGTCTGTTCTTCTGAAAATAAAATGGTCAATAATACCCAAAGAGTTATCCTAACTGAACCCAAATAAGAAAAAATTCAAGAAAATTCAAGAAATCTCTTTAATATACTATTATACAATTTGAAAAATAATCAGAATTGGGGTTTTGCATGTTTTAGCCCATTAATTGCAACTCACTCGACTTGATATTAGTGGCAAACTATCATTCAAGTAATAGGAGTTTGTATGAAATTTTTCAGTGTGTGTTTCCTCCCTATTTTAGAGCTTTCGAAGGGTTGTGGGAATGTTTTTTGTTTTTTTTTTATTAATATTTAACTTTAAAGAATCAGTAGAAATGCTATATAGAATCACATGTATGAGCTCTGAAGGTGAAAAGTCAAACCGGAAGCACATAATTAAATTAAGTATATATTTTTTTTTATTGTGTGTTTAAAAACTTAGCAGTATGTCGCTAACAGACTGGCTGAATATCCATATCAGGCAGCATTGGTCCTGTTGATTGATAAAGTGGCATTTAAACACACTGGGGACTGATGTTTGTCTGTTGTGTCAAATTACTTTTGTGTGCTAAACATTCAAAATTGTGACTTTAAAAATACACAGGCTATCACTAAATGCATAAATAATACATAATTACACACATAATTCTTCTAATAACTGTTACACTCAGTTTAAAACTGTTGAAGTTGCTGACTATGTAGAGTTGTTAATGTAATTTACAACAACTATAAATGAATTGTCTTATGCTTTGAATTTGGGCTAAAACATGATAAAACACTGCGTTTAGCATATCAATGTGATGTAGTAACTGAACAATGTCTTTTCTGCAGTTCCCCGGTGTGAGTCAGAGGGTAACTACATTACAGTTGCAGACATAGTGACTAGTCTGTTGTTGGGTGAACCTAGTGGTGCTGTCACCAGATGAGTGCTGTGTTAGCAAAGCCAGGCTTGTGCTTTTTGCAGTTGCATGGATTTAACAGTCACATCTTGGTTCCTTGTTCTTAACCTAGTTAAAATTCAGCCTGCCTCTCGTACACTTGAGCAGATTTTCACTTAGCCTTTGAACATTGTCTGGCTGCTGTCTGACCTGGTGTGAGAGAGGTGGGCATAAGGAAACAAGCTGAGACTCTAGGTCCATTCTGTCATTGATGGGTCTTGAAACCTTGTTGGTGTTGTGTGTTTGTGTCCAATCCCTTCATAGTGTCCACATGTGTTATGTGTTTCAGATCCAGCAGTAGTGAGTGCGTTTCAGCTATAGAACTGTAAGAGCTAAGCATGCAGAGCAGAACTGGGTTTTGGCTTTGTCTCTAGCAAAATGCATATACTGTAGTTGATTATGCTCGCTGGGTAGACTGGATTTTCTTTTTCATGTCATAGTTTTAGGGAATTAAAATTGTGTTTGCACCATTCTGCATTCCAAGTTGAATTTTAGCAGATACATAATGGTAGCAGCTGCTTATCACTGTTTCCTCTTTAACCGGGGTTAAACCAGCCACAAGCTTTGACGTGATTCTATAGTAGCTATTGCCATTTCTTTTTTAAATTTAAAGCGTGATTAAACTTTAAATCCTAAAAGAGAGGGCACTAATTGCCATTGTTTAAAGGCTTCAGAGTCTTAAGGCCAAACCCATTGTCAGTGATGCGGTATATTACAACACAGCTTTAAATGGAGCTACTGCTCGCTGTCTTGTGGGAGTGTCAACAAAACCTGAATCTCCAGCCTGCATTTCATCATGTTTTGATACCGAGGTTGTCAGTGTGAATTAGCATGTGTTGTTGTGTTGCGGGTTCATTTTGTACTGGCTGATGCTGGAAACCTTTCAGCGCCATGCAAACTGAAATCCAGGTTTTATGCTTGTGTTGCTGTTTGCAGGCCTGATGGGCCACTAGCTATGATTTGTTCCTGCAGTGTAGAAAACAGTTCATTTATAGTACAGCTAAGTGTTGCAGTTCTCATTATGGTAACTTCATGTTACTTTTTCTGGCCTTTCTAAATGTGTACTTCCACTTTCTAAACGTGAACATTAACCACGAGGAAGTGAATCCTCAGAACAAAGGGTCTGACCTCTTCTAGGATTGTTCCTCGGTGTTGGCAGCCAATAAACTTTACACATTCACTCTGTTTATGGCACATGCATGGACCACATCTTCCTCACCATTTGCTACTACACTACCCATAATGCATGAGAGCTGTTGCTTCCTGCCAGGCAGTCAGGGCAGACAATTCAACACCTGCAGAGTAAAAGATTAGAATATGAATAAGCAGAAATGTGCAGGTGCAGTGAATTAATTCTGCTCATGTAGGATAGAAAACACTCAACTAAGAAAAGGCTTTCTCTCTGACCACTTATCTCTATCTCTCTCTTTCTGTGCCCTACTTTGCCATTTCTCACTTGAAGCCTCCATGTGCCTTTAATTTCTCCCTCCTTCCCATTTTCTACCTATTTTTCTTTCTCTCTCCTGTTTCATTCCCTCTACCTGCTCATTGCTCTTCCCGTCATGTAGTGGTGTTACTAACCACTCAGAGACACAGTTTGACACTGAAACCATTGTAACCTGGGACTCTCAGTGGTTCTCAGCCTCATTTGTGTTGTTGACAACAAAGCTAAACTTTCAGGATTAATTGTTTGTAAACCATCACTAAACAATATTTAACAAAAGTCTTAAAAACTAGTAATTTAACCAAATTGTAATTTCCTAAGGAACCGCCACCAATTGCTTTCTGAAATAGTTAATCATTTATTAAAATACTGTGGTTTGTCTTGAAGGAGGCTTTAGAGGGCTGTTTAATTCATCAAATATTCATTTCAGTTAAAGTTTTAGCTTCAAAAACTATTAAAACAAGATAGATGATTATTATGCCGCATTCTGTTTTGCATCAATGCTTTTGTTTTGTGTTTCAGCCCACCAAATTTACTTTTGTCACTCCAACAAGCTCAAATTGACTCCCTGCCAGGCGTTCAGCTCTTTCCTTCTTATTTATTTTCATTGGAATTAGAATTAAATTTCAAGGAAGTTCACTCAGAGGAAGTTTAAAACGTCTGTTTAGGTAAACGTCTTGAGTAATCGTGTGGAATAATAATAATCTCGTTACTGATCATAATAACACAATAATGCAGATTTTAACTGTAACCAACCATGGTATTTATTATTATAATTTACCCTTTTAAAAACATTTTTTTCATGAAAATGCATAAATAATTAGGTCATAATGTGTAAAAGTAATCTGTAAGTCAAAATCCCCACTTCATACCTTTCATATGATGTCATAGAATGGACCCTAATATCTTCAGTCATAAGTTGTCGTATTTAACTCACGACAGAATTATTTTTCTAGACTTAAGTCTGGTTGTCATTTAGTTATCAGTGAGGAAAAACATGACATGAGGTTCATAAAGCCTGGTGAATTATGCTACCACCACCCTGACTGCCGAGTTATATGTAATTTCATATGTACTAAAACAGATATTAAAATATTACCAGTTGGTACATATTATCAGTTTTAATACCAGAACTAAAATAACCAAGAACTAAATTTCAATTAAAATTCTGTCAGTTATTGGTTATATGGTTATTATTCACAAAAAGCAACTGTCTAATCAGTAGAAATGAGCAATTTTAAGTATTTATTCTATTTAAAATCTCTAATCTCTACAGCTCAGCAGCTGAGAACCACTGATAACTTCAGGCTCTTGCTCAGTTGAACCTGGTTTATCCAAACATGAAAACCGCAGACTTCCAAACTTTGTTCAGCCTGGTGGAAATCTACCCTATCAATCCTTTTTTTGGCATGTGCATCTTAATGGAAAATAAGACTGCACATGCCACTGCATCAAGTTTGTGTGTGTGTTCGTTTTCATGTCTTAAATATGCCTCTGGTTTGGAAACACCACTGAATATATGCAGTGCTGATATTTCATTCACTCAAACGCCTCTTCTGATATCAGTCCTGGGATAAACCAGGTTTCACTATGAGCACTAAATCCAACCCCAGTAAATACAACAAATTTAACATGCCATACTATGAGAAAGTGAGAAAAGGGTAAAAAAGCCAGATGTTTCAGTAGCAGCACTGTACTTGTCATATTTTTTTTCCTCTCTCCTCACGTCCTCTTCTCTTTTCCTCCACAGGCATGTGGCGATCCCAAGGCTAAGCCCTCCTATCTCGTCGATAAGAACTTGGAGTCTGCGGTAAAATTTATTGTCAGGAAGTTTCCTGCAGTGGAGACGCGGAATAACAACGTGAGTATTCCTACGTATACGTCTATTATGCAAAGAGAAGTGGAAGGAAAAAGTGTCTTTTTAGCAGGATAGATGATTTGATTTGTCTTCATTACTACACACTTTGAATCAAGGGTGCAGCTCTATTTTTATGCTCTCCATATTTTCTGATTGTTGCATTTATAATTTGCTATCTTATTGAAAATAAATAAATAAAAAAGCTCCTGCACTACAAATATAGGGCAGAAATACACCCAGACACTGAACAGCATGTAAAAGCAGCTGCTAATCAGTTGAGATAAAAAAAAAAAATAATGCAAAATTTGTATTAGAAGTATTAGTTTACAAACGAAATACTTTGAAACATGACACGTATTTTTGCTAATTTAATTCTATATAATGTTTAGCGAGATATTCACTTGCATTACTAACTTGTTTATATAAACTCTGTCTGGCAATTGCCAAATGATGTTGTTTCTGAATGTGATTTATACTTTTCTTTTTTTCTTTTTTTTTTTATTGGACTTGTTTATTTGTTTTTTCATTAAGCTTACTTCCCACTCAGGAAGCTACATCACTCTGATTTGGTGCTTCAATAAATGTTAAGACCATTTTTAGGTGCCTAGCAGTCAGTGTGGGAGATTCCTGTAAGGTAACAAACCATTGTCCTCCCTGACACTATGTGTCAGGCAAATTACTCTTCCATTTATTAATTAAGCCCGCGTGCACTTTAATCTTGCATTGGATTGCTCAGATAGCCCCAAAAAACTGCTGGAGTATTGTTGACTGCCCGTGAATCGAGTAGGGTTTCCATGTGGCTGGTTGATCTGGTTGTTTGGTTGGCTGCCTTTGTTTGTTTCCTTGCTTTTGGAAGCTTTGATCTTTTGTTGAAGATCTGAGGATTTATTTATTTATTTAAGTTTTTCTCTATTAGAGGGTGCCTGATAATTTTACAATATTACAAAATTTTACAAAAGACATCCCCACTTTTCCTCGGGTGGCCCTAATCCTCTTCCATAGTCATGTGACCATGTAATGCAATTTGAGTTGGGTTTAATTCTAAAAAGAAATGGGTCAACATAGCTGAGAAGATGGTTTCCCACAGGTTTAGTTTTGTGTGTGTGCTTGTGTGTGCACATTTTCTTAAAAGACTTATTTGGTGACAAAGAAACTGAGAAATATAATCAGCTACCTCACGATTATCACAGCTTTCTCCAGAGCATAGAAAAGACTTCCATCATTGGTTCCAGCTCAAACAGCAAGTTCAGTTCGTCCGATGGCGAGACTCTAACCTTTCTACAGAGGCAGCCAAGTTAAATTAAAGATGGCGGCCCAGCCAGGGAATCAAAATAATGAGTAGAGTAGGGCAGTGACTAAACTTTCAAAATAAGAGCAAGGGGAATAACTGCTGATTACCGAGAACTTTGTTCTTTCAGACAAGTTGAAAAAAAATTGAAATAAAAATGAGACAGAATATGCATGAGGATCTGTTAATTTCCAGTGGTGGCTGGAAATAGGCTGGCCAGGTAAAGACTACACTGGTGTGATGGCGTTGGGTATCCAGCATCTCTTACACCTTTGTCAGGTGTGCGTGTGTGTGTGTGTGTGTGTGTGTGCGCGCATGTGTGTCAAGTGAACTAAAGTCATTGCTCATCAGATTTTTCTTTTTAGCTTTACTTGTTAGCATATGGCGTTTGTGTCAGAGCACCATTTAGCAAAAAGCTGTGTGTGTGTGTGTGTGCGTGCGCGTATGTGTGTTTATACTGTGTGTGTAGCTAACTGCTTTATTCAGTATAACTGTGCTTAAAAATGTGTCTCTTATGTTGTTTTTCTGCTTTGTTTCTGTGTTTGTTTGTGTTCTGCATGCTAAACTTGGCTTAATCCGGACTTGTGCTTTTTGGTAAGTTTTTGTATCTAAGTTTCTGTAACTTTTTGAGTTTAATTTAAGCACTTAAGTTTTGTAATATTATGTATTTTTATTTGTACCTGTGTTTGTTTTTGCAGGGGGGGGATTTATTTATTTATTTTGGTTTTGTTTCTTTTTGGTTTTTTTAAAGCTCTTTTGGAGTGTGTTTTGCTTTGCTCAGCTTTCTCTGGCAGCATTTTTATTTTCTCTTCTTCATCCTGTGAATGACTGCGTGGCTAGTTACCCACCTGGCTAGTTGGTTAGGTTTGCTTGATGACTGATCAGCTGGTGTTTGAATGACTTGCTGACTGCATGCAATAAGGAGTGTCACTCAGCAGGTAATCGAAATTGTGCAAGAAAAACTGTTTTGTTATTTGGGTTTTTTTTTTTAGGAATTAAAAAATAAACAGTGATTGTTCCACTTTTAGTTGACTTGAGCCAAATACCAGATGTTTGAACTCCTTGTTGCAGCAGCAGTGTTTCACGCTTCCTACACTTGTCATGTTTTGACCTTTTTCCACCTTTGCCTATTAGGCCAGTTCTGGTTTAGGGTGCGGTTCTGACCTCAGATTGCTCTGGAGCTGGGTTCAATTTACATACAGTATGCTTCAGTCATTTCTAGCATGTTAATACACTGCTTCTCAGGTGCTGAAGTCAGATACTTCATGTTGATTTTTAGACTTTAAAAGATTGATGCAGCAATCTTTTAAAGGTAAACTGGGATTTGAAAACACTTTGTATCCACAGCTAAAGACTCGTATTGACAGTGTTTTATTTTTTGAGGTGCTGTTGGGTTAATGGTTTCTGCTTTGCTTATATAGGCAGATTTTACTTTGGTGAAACATTTCATTACAGCTTCTGGAAAACCGCCACACGGAAAACGAGTTATTCAAAACTTTATTTAACATACCGTACAACAAGGTGCAAAAGAAGAAAATTGATAACCAAGTTCTCCTGTATGCAAAGTGTTCCAGAAAATCATTAAATGAAATAAGTTCTTCACCAAAGTAAAATAACTTTCATGCATCTACATGGAATAGAAAGTCATTTTTTAAAATTGTCTTAAGAATAGTTTAGCTCCAATAACTGAATTATTTAGCAGCTGTGTGTGGTTTCTGCCGCTTTGCTGTTGATTAAGTTTCAATTAATTAACTTCAAAATGAAGAAACTCAAGACCTGATGATCTCTGCGGATCCCTGAAGGGAAACTTGATAATTACATCTTTTTAGCTGGGTGGGATAGGAATATGCTGATATTTCTCTTCAGAGTTAATAAAAATCAAATTGTCAAAGAAACATATTTCCAGAGTTAAATAGAACTTAACCAGAGTTTCTTTTTTATTTAAAAGATGATTTTGATGATTCATTTAAGAAATGTCCAAAGTCAGTCCCATCTTTTAATCATACCAGCTGTAAAAGAGTAAACGGTCCTGAGTTGCTGTATGACGTTTCTCTGTGACTACTCTGAAGGGAACACAGTGAAAGCAGTACTTAGTTACTGGAAAACCTAAGCCTCAGGTTCACGCAGCACTTCTAAAATTCACAACTTTGTGTTCTTTGCCATGTGGTTTTATAGCAACAGCTGGCCCAGCTGCAGAAGGAGAAGTCAGAGATTCTGAAGAACCTGGCTCTCTATTATTTTACCTTTGTCGATGTCATGGAATTCAAGGTGGGGAAAAACACACAGTGGCACTCAGGTGAAGCACACGAGGACGTGTTTCTTTTACTTTGGTGGTTCTAATGAAAACATTTCTCTTCGCTCTATTAATAGGATCATGTGTGTGAGCTGCTGAACACCATCGATGCCTGCCAGGTCTTCTTTGACATTGTAAGCAAATATATTTTATTTATCTTTTTTATAGAATGTGTATCACATGTAACAGGACAATGTTTTGACGCTTCAGAAAACATAGAAAGAAGCCTAAAAAAGGAAGAATTACCAACCAGAACCTGTAAAGTTCTGTTGTGGGTCAAAGACTCCCTTTTCCTAGAGACTGAAAACGAGGCCCAAAGGAGGAGCAAGAGTCTAGATCCCACTCAGAAGTGTTGAACTACAATAAGCTGTAAAGTTATTGAAGATCCCCCCCCCCCCCCCCCCCGACGACTTCTAGACTTAATCCTTTCTTTTATTAGAACCATTAAGTGAGATCTTTCTCCTGTGCTTACCTCATCATGTTTCAGAACCGAAGAATCCTAAAGAGATTCTCTCCTCCCCTTTCTTTCCTCTATTTTTTTCATTCTTCCTCATTCCCTGAGCATTCCAGAGCCACAGAAGTATTTATGAATATGTTTTACCTCCAGCAAGGAAGTTAAATGGTTGGTTCAGTTTTTCCGTTTGCATGAAAATGTTACCACAGGGTGGGTTTAGTCTGGGACAAATCCTGGGAGTTAACCTGCACTGAAGTTTAGGATCTTTAAAAAGGATTCTTTACCTTTGTGAATTAGAGCACAATTGCACATTTTGTGTCATACTTTAAAAGATACGCCAAAGTGATAGAATTTGGAAGGTATCATCTTGATGTCCTTGAAAATATTACAGACTAAACTGGATCCAGATCACCTCCGCATGTATAAACTCAATTTATACATATTTCAGAGCAGGAGTGGGTAATTAAAATTCCCCAGGGCCTGTTGGGGCTGTTGTGGGGCTACTCCAGTAAGCTGAACTCAATTCTGCTCAATTTTATCTCTTTAAAAACTTATTGGTGGTGTTCTCCACAACAGTCCCAGTATCTCATATGGCCTCTTGGGAACATTAATTGCCTGCCCCTCCTTTAGAGGAAGTGTTCAGCCTTGATGGAGGTATATAGTCTCTTGTTTCTGTGTAATCGCTGCCTTTCTTGTTGTTTGCTTCATGTAATGACACACCTGTGTTCCCCCATCAGACGGTGAATTTTGACCTGACTAAGAACTACCTGGATCTGGTGGTAACATACACTACTCTGATGATAATACTTTCTCGCATAGAGGAGAGGAAAGCCATCATAGGGCTTTACAACTATGCCCATGAGATGACGCATGGAGCCAGGTAACTGAGAGTTAGATTGATGTGAGAAGTTTGCACACTATTACAGACATCATAGCAGCATAAACTGTTAGTAGAAACGGTTACTTAGACACTACGTCACTACCTCTGTGTGTTGCTGCAGTGACCGGGAGTACCCCAGGTTGGGCCAAATGATTGTGGATTATGAGAACCCTTTGAAGAAGATGATGGAGGAGTTTGTTCCACATGGAAAGGTGGGAGAATTGTTTGTGCATTGTGAAATGTAGGTTTTTAACATTGTACAAATGCAAGATAGTTGATGCAGAGAGCTTTTGGTTTGCAACATCTATACTAAAACTAGGAAAAAGGTTTCTGTAAAGGAATCCGTCTGTTCTGTTCATCCATGTAGATCACTTGTGTATACACCTGTAGCTGTACTGAATAAAAATGTGATGTCAGTACTGATCAAAATAATCACTGGTTTGATTTTCCTTGATCAATAGCCCTGGTATATGCACCATGATCTACAGTGTTTACAGATACTTCTGCTTTTATTGGTTAGTGTTGTTTTTGAATGAGGTTCAGTTGTCATAGCATTTCAAATGCCTCACTGAGCTTAGTCCATGTGGCATATTGTCCACAAACACACAGACTTCTACTTTTCAAATCATGCATGACTTATGCTTGCGTGGGAAATCTACGTTGTGACTTCCGTCATAACTGGAAACTCTGTTTTTGCCCTACTCTGTAACATTTTCCGTAACCTGACATGCGCCTCATGTTGGGTCGACACAGCTCGCAGCGACGCGAATGGTGTAGAAGGTTACAGCATAGGGTTGGGGAGAGTTTCCGGTTACGATAAAAAATGAGGACATTTATTTCCTGCAGAAGTCTAAATCAGGCTTGATACTTCAAATAAACTTAATTGAAAACAAAGAGCATGGTTTAACAACTTTCTTGACTTTAACAACACTATAAAGGGTTTTGGGTTTGTTTGTTTTTTTCCAAGTTTGCGTACAGTGGCTCTGAAATTGCTGCTTATTTAGTTTCAAAAGTCAGTTTTATACCGGAAGAATTTAGTCCTGTCTCTCCTCCTGCAGTCCCTGTCAGATGCGTTGGTCAGCCTTCAGATGGTCTATCCCAGGAGGAATCTGTCAGCTGACCAGTGGAGGAACGCCCAGCTGCTTTCTCTCATCTCTGCTCCCTCCACAATGCTCAATCCTGCTCAGTCTGACACTGTTAGTATCCCGATTGACTGTCTTAAAATAATCTGTATGATCTGAATGATCATTTAAAGCTTCTCAATAATCTATTAACCTGTTCTGTGCAGGCTTTTGATGTCAGAGCTTCTTTGTGCCAAGTGATACAACTGGAAAAACTGAATTCAACTGTGTCTTTGTCTTTAGATGCCCTGTGAATACCTGTCACTGGACACAATGGAAAAGTGGATTGTTTGTAAGTAGTGTAGAAGCAGAGTTGAATCTAGTGCTCTGATCATGTGAATTGGGTGCCAGATGATCAAAAGGCTTCAGTCTGCAGTTAGCTCTGTATTTCTCTCCGTTCTCTCTGCAGTTGGTTTCATCCTGTGTCATGTGGCGCTGAATAGCGACGCAGCAGCGCTGTCTTTGTGGAAGTTGGCTCTGCAGAGCTCCACCTGTCTCTGTCTGTTCAGGGATGAAGTTTTCCACATCCACAAGGCTGCTGAGGACCTTTTTGTGAACATCAGAGGGTATGAGAATGTGTCTATGTGGACACAGGCAGGCGCTCTTTAACTGGTGCACAATCACACAAACTGTGATCATGTCTCCTTTTTTTTTTACTTTGATATGATTGTTGAATATCTTTGTGGTTTGAATTTTTATTGAGGAATTTGAAGATTTGATTGTCATTTTCTGTCCCAGTTTTCCCATTTTGCTCTTTTTAAAGCATCCTTTCCTCTTGTGTGTTTTGCAGGTACAACAAACGCATCAATGACATCAGGGAGTGCAAAGAACAGGCCCTGTCTCATGCGTATGTATAACCTTGTTTCGTACTATCTCATGCAAACATAAAATACACTCACATTTTATATATATTTTTTTTCTAATGCCCCCATTTTCTATATTATTAATTTATATTCCTGGTCTTTTATTTAAAGATTTTAACTGTCATTTTAGCATTTGCTTCTACCCTCTCTCGGGAAGCTTCACTGTGAAACATCACCCTTTTCTCTGTATCCTTTTTCATGTTTTCCTCCTGTTTTATCCTCTATTCGTCGTCTTCCCCCCATGCCTCATCTCTGCTTTTATCCTCATTACTTATTCCGTCTTCCCCTTTCATCTTTATTCTTCTGCTGTCACTGTCATCTACTTACTTTTTGTCCTCCTGCGGGATTGTCCTAAAAGTGTCAGAATACCATTTAATCACATTACCTTGTATGTTTTGATGCACTGCTCTGACTTCCTCGGTCTCTTTGGCTGCCTACAGAGGCTCCATGCACAGAGAGAGGCGCAAGTTCCTCAGATCAGCTCTGAAAGAGCTGGCCACTGTTTTAGCTGACCAACCTGGACTGCTTGGTCCAAAGGTAATATAAAAAAACACTGCAAATAACACTCTGTTCAGTTGTAATCATAGACTTTCTGTTTCTTCCTGTTTCAGGTTTAAACCTTCTTTCTTTCAGCAGGACATAACTTTGTTTTTGTTACAAAAACAAGTTGGGTTTTATGCAAGTCCAGGGGGAAATATCCTCTAATTCATTTGATCTATGACCTTATCGCTGGTGTTTATCGTCTCAATCTCTATTTTCAAGTTGTGTGGAATATAACATGATCTTTATATTTTAAATCATGGTCCATATTACTGTCATGACTGATTATAAGGCAGGACATGATTAAGGCCAGGCCTGCCTTATGATTTGTGTTGAACTTCAGTTTCACAATCAGATCTGCCCAGTTTCCAGTGAGGCTTCAATAACACTAAGCTGCCGAACACATTCAGCTCAAAACTTCAAAAAGTGGTCTTTGCAAAACAATGGTTCATTTCACAGTGGCTCACATAACTTGAAAACAACATGTCAAATGAAAGCGGCTGCAACCTGATGAATTATAAAAAGCTGCCTTAAATACTACAGTATCACCTGTTTAGTTGCTTTTTGTTGCTCGGGATGTTTGCTATTGTTTAAATTGACCAAAACCCATTAGATAGACCTAAACTAATTTCAAATTCATTTATTTTAATTAATTAATTTAACCAGATCTTGTGTACAGAGCCTGAGAGGGAGCTCAGGCAAGCTACAAAGCCACCCTCATTCAGCCATTTTAATGTTCTCTACAGAGCAGGTTGGCGTTTACAGAGATCAATGCAATTCTACAAGTTGCTTTGCCATCATCCTTTCCATGCTCTTAGACTTTAGTGGTATCATTCCTGCTGCCATTGATGTTTATAGTTCTGTACAGGGTGGTTTTCCTGTTGCTTTACCTTTCTTCAGCTTTTCATGTATGTGCGTGGGAGAGCACACAGATCCTAGAACAGGTCCCAGTAAATATAAAACTAACATGGATTGAAATAACCTTTTGTTTTCATTATAGCTGAAATTCAGTCAGGATAAATGGAATGGGTAAAAGAGTGCAACAGATTATATAAAATATGCAGTAAACTACCACAATAACATGTCTTTTAAATTATGCATCATTTAGAGTCTTTACCAGCCCAATTCTTCTAGTGGAACTTGATATACGGCACCAATAGCTGCAAAGCCATTCATAAAGTCTCAGATTGCATTTAGAGATTCTGAGAACGCAGATGCTGCGAGCTTCTCTCTCACCACTTCCCTCCAAATTTCTGGTCTGCTAGGCGCTGTTTGTGTTCATGGCGCTGTCATTCGCCCGTGATGAGATCATCTGGCTGCTTCGACACGCAGACAACATCCAGAAGAAAAGCACAGATGATTTCATAGACAAGTAAGCGTGGACAAGTGTGTTTGTGTACACGCGTCATGCCTGTATAAACACACTTGCGTCTTCACACCTGCTAATGTGTGTATGTGTGTTTTGCAGACACATAGCTGAGCTGATCTTCTACATGGAGGAGCTCAGAGCTCATGTCAGGAAGTATGGGCCTGTGATGCAGCGATACTACGTCCAGTACCTGTCTGGGTTTGATGCTGTGGTGCTGAATGAACTGGTTCAGGTGGGAACATTTAAAAAAAAAAATACAAACTCCTGAGACTAAGCATTCTTACTGCATTCAGTCACATTTAATCTGATATTGCTTTCCTCCTAAAACATGGTGTTATTGAGCTGGTGTCACCATCCAGCACGGCTGTGAGGCTGCTTATGTCAGGTGTCAGATTACAGGACTTGCATTTACCGTAACGGAATTTTAAAAGCATGTTTTGTTTTTAATATTAATATAAAAATTCAACTTTTTTGTTTTCTATAATGCTCTTCAAACTTTTTAATGTACTGTATTATTCATTAACATTTTTGTCATATTTAAAAGATGAATCTACAGTGAATACAGTCCTGTCTAATCAGCTTCATTTCCGTTTTATTTTACAGAACCTGTCTGTGTGTCCAGAGGATGAATCTATAATCATGTCTTCATTTGTCAACACCATGACTTCTCTCAGTGTTAAACAAGGTAAGACTCTGTTAAATGGAAGATCAGGAGAAATACCGGGACGAGTCGTTATTTTTGCATTTGCACTGGCAATATTGATCGTAGTACAGTTATTAATAATTAAAGTTACTAAAATACTGAGTGTGATTTGTGTGTTTCAGTGGAGGATGGAGAAGTGTTTGACTTCAGAGGCATGAGACTGGATTGGTTCAGACTGCAGGTATATACACAACTTTCGTGCTTAAATTCTTTTGAAATAAGTCTTTCAAGGAAACTATGTTATCCTTGAAAACTAAAACATAATAAAATATTTAATGTGATATTAACGATCCTGTTCAGTAAGTCGGGGTAGTGCAATATGTAACAATAAAGAACTTGGATTTGTCTTTTATGTCCTGCTTGTGCTGTTATTCCTCTCTCTAGGCCTACACAAGTGTCTCTAAAGCCAGTCTCGGTTTAGCCGATCACAAAGAGCTCGGTAAAATGATGAACACCATCATCTTCCACACAAAGATGGTGGACTCTCTGGTGGAGATGCTTGTGGAGACATCAGACCTGTCTATTTTCTGGTGAGACACTCATGTGAAACTCTGGTAAGTCCTGTGCATAATTCAGACATAAGTTTAAATATGTATATTTTCCTTTTTTCTCTGTTCTTGTGTGTAGCTTCTACAGCCGTGCATTTGAGAAGATGTTTCAGCAGTGCTTGGAGCTTCCCTCCCAGAGCCGCCACTCAGTCTGTTTCCCTCTGCTTTGTACACACTTCATGTCCTGTACACATGAGCTCTGTCCCGAGGAGGTAAATACACACATGCATACAAAAACCCAGTTTGTGTGATATTCTTTTTAATTTTACATAATGGGGCCTGTAGATGGGGAGATGAGGACATTTGAAAGTTTCCCAAGAATAGATATCTGTGGGTTGAACGGAAGGTACAGAGGAAGGGGGATAGATGGGGAGATGTAATGAAAGGGGGGTGGATATAATGAAGGGAAATGCGTAGAGGTCAGTAAATCAACCGAGACACATTTTCTTCTTTTTAAACGTAATCGAGGATGTTATCAGCACGTGTTGCTGCACTTCAAATAGGATCTCCTAATGGCCAATTCTGTGTATGTTTGATGGTATCAGTTGGTCAAAATGTCAGCAGCAAATGTTACAAAAATGTGCCCATTTGGTCAACTTTTAGTGAATTTTTCAAATATAAAAATGTGGAGTCTTTGACTTCCCAGTTTTAATTCAATTTCACACTCAGATGATTTAAATGTTTAAAAATTAAAGGGGAAAAAGGAAAAACATGGAAGAAGAAGAAACTTTTCATGTGAAAAAACTCGTATTACAGTTCAGGGATGTTCAGCCAGTCGAGTGTGGCTTTAATCAATGCTGGTTGGAAGTGAAAAGCAAAAATTGACTCAGTATAGGCATAAACTGAAGGACACTGATAAACACATTTGTTATTGGAACCAGCAGACAGTTGGGCTTTCTTTTTTTTATACCCATCTAAAATGCATCTAAACAGGCACCCCGCAGTAACTGTTTTGGTCTTTTTGAAACAGATTCTACAAAATTCAATACAATTTTTATCATTGACTGACAGCTGCTTTCCCCTCTGAGCCTGGGCATCAGGCGTGATATGTGTGATGATTATGCTGTTTTGATAATGATTTCACTTTGAGTCTTTTTGTCTCTTTCTACTCTCCTCCTCAGCGTCACCACATAGGGGATCGAAGCCTGTCGTTGTGCAACATGTTTTTGGACGAAATGGCCAAACAGGCCAGAAACCTGATCACCGACATCTGCACCGAGCAGTGTACACTCAGTGACCAGGTAGGAACACAAAGCCAACTGTTTACAGGGACAGTTTGACATTTCTAGCTTGAATACAAATGCTCCAAATTACTGATCAGACTGACAGTGATACAGGTTAACAATCTGCGTCAGCCAACCCCTCCAACACCCTCTGTTTGAACGCTGGTTAGACGCTGACAGACTTTATTGAGAATAAAATCAATCCAAAGATAAACTGACCAGTTCATCTGGTTTAATCTATACTTAAACTACTGTCAGGGTTTCCACTAGGAACAAAACAGCAGGGCTACAGTTGTGCAGACTTCCACACAAGAGGAGAAATACATCTGGGAGTTTATTTCCTTCTTCCAGTATGAAAAAAATACTTTATTTCAAGGTAGAATCAGGCTTTGTAAAATATTTTGCCACATGTAATTGCTACATGTCAATTCAGTTGTAAATTATCCCTTTTTTGGGCATTAAGAAATTAATTGCTGGCTTATTAATGTAGAAACAATAATACATGGTATTGATAATTTTGCTATTATGCAAGTTTGACCCAGTACTGAAATAGATTCTCAGATCGACCAACACGTTGCCATCAATACCCAGAGCATAAAATGATGTTTGTCCATATAAATATTTAGTCATTTGTTGAAGCTTGTTGTTGTTAAAAGCTCCTTAAATATGTCTGTCAGTCTCCTGGTTTAACTGCCTAAGAAAGATTACCATGTTGCTTTTCTTTTGTCTTCAACATGAGATGAAATATACCTCATTTATCCCAGACGTTCAAAAAATCCACAACCTTACTTAAATAAAATACAATAGCTAAAAAAAAATGAGAGCAAGGCAAAACAAAATCAATCAATAAGTTAAAAAATAATCAACAGAAAAGATTTCAGTTAAATGAGGGAAAAAGGAGCTTAATAAGTAAAAGTTTTAATAAATTGTAAAAATCATAATATAAAACAATAATGATTCTTTAAACAAGTAAAAAGGTCTCATGTAAATCTGAAGGGCACTTTAAAACAAAATGTCAGTGGCTTAATAATTGTAGTGAAATGTTGTACCTTTTTATTTTTACCATAGCTGCTTCCCAAGCACTGCGCAAAAACCATCAGCCAAGCTGTGAACAAGAAGAGCAAGAAGGCGACGGGGAAGAAAGGCGAGCCGGAGAGGGAGAAACCAGGCGTGGAGAGCATGAGGAAGAACAGACTGCTGGTCACCAAGTTAGTACAAAAAGAGGGAACGTGAAGATCTGAATGTTTTTGAAGGATCTGCAGAGCCACAGTCTGCCTCTGTCTGTTCTCAGGCTCAGCTTATTCTTTATGCTTCTTTTAAAAACTCATTACTGTTGAATGTGTTTTAATTATAGTGATCTGTAATTGTTTATAGATTAATAAGTATTCATCTTTGCTCATGCAGTAAAAATGAAAATGGTAATATTTAGCTGTTTCTTTCTCCTATAAATAGTTGAAATATTATTTTTTTAACACATCAAATCTGGCTGGTATTGTTTTGAACCCTCCACCGTGTTGTTATCGCCGTTTCCCAGACGTGTCAGTGCTTTCCAATTAAGTTTTTATATTTTCACCTACATATATCTATACTTCCTTCATTTTAAGTCTCATAGTTTTGCTCTCTTTTATTGGTTTTATTGGTATTGTTGCTTGTTTTCTCTGCACAGATCAGGTTTTAATCATATCTGTTGTTTATGTGTCTCCTCCCGCCCCCCAGTCTGGATAAACTCCACACCGCCTTATCTGAACTCTGCTTCTCCATCAACTACGTTCCCAACCTGATTGTGTGGGAGCACACTTTCACACCGAGGGAGTACCTCACCTCGCACCTGGAGATCCGATTTACCAAGTAAATAAGCACGCACGCATGCTTTCATAGTGAAGGTGTATAATTACAGATACATTTTGTCCAATTTAGAGTTGCATCTGTCGACCTCGCAACCCAGCTAACGCTGCTCTTCACCACCTCTGTGTTAATTAAATACTACATGTACAGCTTTCAGTGAATAGGAAAAAGTACAAATTACTACCTCATCATGACATGACAGTAATTATTAAGCAGTGCACAGTCCAGAGGTTGTGCTTTAAGCAGTTATTTAAAAGCAGATTAATTGAGCAGTTTAGGTGTAAACCGCTTTGGTGTTTCAGAATGAAAAGTTAAGGGATTGCAGCTTTATGATCGTTAAAATTAAGGTAATTAAAGTAAGTTGTGCAACTTTGAGGTTTAAAAGTGCTCTTACTAAATGTACTTTAACTTAGGCATGTCTTATTGACCTCTGATCGTGTCCAGGTCCATAGTGGGGATGACCATGTACAACCAGGCTACTCAGGAGATAGCCAAGCCCAGCGAGCTGCTGACGAGCGTCCGAGCATACATGACCGTGCTGCAGTCCATAGAGAACTACGTCACCATCGACATCACACGAGTTTTCAACAACGTCCTCCTGCAGCAGACGCAGCACCTGGACAGCCACGGAGAGCCCACCATCACCAGTTTATACACAAACTGGTGTGTTGATTTTTAGCACTTCTGCAATTCTCCAAAAACATTGTTAATAAAATACCAAAAAATGACACAGCAAAGGAAGCAGAAGTGTAATTTGAGAAGGAAATAAACAACAAACAACGCAAATAACTCACTAGACTTTTCTCAGTAGTTTTAGATGATTGTTTTTTTTTAATCAGAGCAATTTCTATTCTCCTCACATCCAGCTCCATGTCTTTATTCTTGGGCTCTACTACAGTAGCTTTTTTCGGGGCCTTAATTCAGCCTCTCTGTTTACCTTCTGACTGAAACGAACAGTTTTGAGTGCACCCTACCTTAACTTTCTTCTGAAAAGTTAGTTTAACATTTAATTTATTATAACATTTAGGAAGATGCACTATTTAACTAGAGGACCAAATAAGCACATCCACACCAGTGAGGGGTAAATCCTGAACCCAAAACAAGCAGAAAACCAAATAAAAAATTTAATGGTCTGCAAGCTCAGTGGCTACAGTTTTACTTATTTATTATACCCGACAGACCTTAATGGAACTCAGCTTGTTTTTCTTTTGAGGACCAAGCATGTAACCTATACTGAGACAGCATCCTGTGTGTGTTTGTAGGTACTTGGAAACGTTGCTCCGCCAGGTCAGTAACGGACACATCGCCTACTTCCCCGCCATGAAGGCTTTCGTCAACCTGCCCACTGAGAACGAACTAACTTTCAATGCTGAAGAATACTCTGATATCTCTGGTACAATCACTCAAAAGATTGTTTACTCATACAAACACACTTTGTGCATGAAAATGTTAGTAACTTGGTATTTATGACGACAAACAATAAATCAGCTATAGAAGAGAAACCTTAATGTGGGGTTTTGTGTATTAATATAAGTTTAGAGTTTAGCCATCTTGTTTTTTTTTCTGTTCCTCGTCTTTTTTTTTTTTCTGCTGAAAGTTTATTGAAAGTGTTTATTTTTTTTGCTTTTTCCACAGAGATGCGTTCCCTGTCAGAGCTCTTGGGCCCGTATGGTATGAAGTTTCTTAGTGAGAGCCTGATGTGGCACATCTCATCTCAGGTTGCTGAGCTGAAGGTATAAACATGTCCACAATCATAAAGATATACTCACATATTGAATAATAATAATATAAACTGTTATACCAAGTTGTACAGGTGATATTATTAGTCAGTGAGTTTTATTCAGATGAGTGATTTCTTTTTCCTTACCTGTTGCGTCTCTGATTCTTTCTTCTTTTTTTTTTTAAATATAATATTCAGAAAACTGATTCATATATTTGTAATCTTTTGTGAGAAGTCCGAGCAGTGTGCCTGGCCTTATTGGGGATATCCCTTCTTCCTTACATCAGAGAGAGCCAAAAATAGGGAAACAAATTGGTTGATGTTGAGTGTTTAGTGTAGTCCGTTGCCTTCCATGGTTCCATTCATAACCAGGCTTTTTTTTTTCTTTTTTAAAAATTTTGACAAAATGTTTTGTTTATTTGCGTTTCTCTGTAGAAACTGGTGGTAGAAAACATGGAGGTGTTGACCCAGATGAGGACGAGCTTTGACAAACCAGACCACATGGCTGCGCTCTTCAAGAAACTCACCTGTAATTACTAACACTAACGCTAATACTTGTGCTTACACTTACTTGGCACAGATCTTTGCAGCTACAGTTTCATCATGGTGCCAAACAATAAGTGATTATCCAAACACGATGGGAGTACTTATGCCACTTTTTGTGTGTGTGATATTTAGCTGTTTACAATCAGCAGCCTTGGCTTGTTTCATGTCAGTGTCTCAGTGTCAGTCTCTTGTTTGAGATTCGATTACATCTGTGTTAAACTTGCCATCGTATTGAAAGTGGTTGGTTAGAAATGACTTCAAGTTAGTACACTTGAAGTACAAATTGATACACCTCCTTGCAAGTTTATTTTTGTGATTGGTGAACTCCTGAATTAACACTGATCACTGTGACAGCTGCTGTAATCCACTCACTCGCTGTGTTTTCTGTTTTTGTAGCTGTGGACAGTGTTTTGAAGAGAATGACCATCATTGGGGTCATTTTGTCCTTCCGCTCGCTCGCTCAGGAGGCTCTGAGAGACGTAAGGCACACATAATCATATACCACTTTGAGGTGATAGATACTGGCAACTTGTGTCAATCAAGGTTATTATAATTAACTAAAACTAAAGCTGGATGTGGAAAAAAATACTGAAAAAAAATTAACTCAAACAATTTTGTGAACTTGAATAGAATAAAATGAAAATGTAAAGGAAAGTTTGACTATTTACGATACTGTGACACACCGTGGGTCAGCTGCTTTTGAAAAATTAGTTTTTATTGTAAAACCTGTATTAATTTTCTCTGAGACATTCAGAGTAATAGCATGCAGTAATAATTAAAAAGACTAAGATGAACACGGAAACTAACAAGAACTAAACCGAAATAAGAAAATCCACTCTGGAAACTAACTGAAGCTAAACTTAATTTAAAACAAAAAGTCAAAACTAAAACTAGAAAATACAAAACTATAATAATGTGCATTTCTTTGTTCAGCTTTGGGGCATATTCATGGCATTAAAATACAGTCATTTAAAAATGTTTTCATTTAGAAAGGTACAGTAGATGTTGTAGGCATTTTAATATTGAACCTCATCATCTTTTATACTGTAAATGGCCAAAATCAGTCTTACTAGACTGTCCCTATCAGGTTAAAGCTGAGTTACATCAAATATGAATTAAACCTGGCTCTGATTCCGGCTACTCCCCTCTTGTCTTTTTAACGATAAATATCATGGTTTATACTTACAAGCTTTCATGTTCTTTGGTCCTCTGGATTTAGCAATTTAGAAGTTGGAGTTGGACCAAGTTCCAGAACTGGATTAACTGACCTAAGCCTTCTAAGACTGACATTTAGCTGGTTTCCGGAAACGCTGCTTATTAAAAGTGAAAGGATAAAAATATCAGGCAGCACTCTGAAATCACACATTAAATTAAGACATTCAGTGTAAGTGTTGAGGTACACGTTTATTGGCCCTTGCTCATTCAGTCTGAGATTTCCTGATAGTGGCTGCTGAAAAGCACACTTCTAAATATTTTAGAGTATTTCCTCTTCCATCTTTCTCCGTCTTAGTGGTCTGTGTCGGTTTTGCTTTTTCCAGGTTTTGTCCTGTCACATTCCTTTCCTGGTCAGCTCAGTGGAGGATTTCAAGGACCACATTCCCCGAGAGACGGACATGAAGGTAAAACACACTGACGGGCTTGTCGAGGTAGATGCGCTTCCGGATGTCCCGCTCTTTGCGTTCATGTGGATATTTTGTCTGTTTCCAGGTGGCCATGAACGTTTACGAGCTGTCCTCAGCAGCAGGTTTACCCTGTGAGATCGACCCAGCTCTGGTGGTGGCTCTGTCCTCTCAAAAGAGCGGTGAGTCGCAAACACGGTCACACACAACCACGATCCAGGAGCCACACAATTCATCTGTATGACCATCACGATGTTTGTCTGCAGAGAACATCAGCCCAGAGGAGGAGTATAAGATCGCCTGTCTGCTGATGGTCTTTGTGGCAGTTTCGTTGCCAACACTTGCCAGCAACGTGATGTCGCAGTACAGCCCAGCCATCGAAGGTAGGACACCATGCTCTTTTTTTGTAGATTTGTTAAGAAGATCTAGTTAAAGTGACTCTCTCTCACACCGATTTTATGTTTGCAGTATGAAGTGCAATAAAGAGAAGGCCTGAAACTTCAAAGACTCAAAGTGGCGGTTCATCCTAAAATCACATTTCTATATTTTTCCTGTGGCCTGCAGTGCTGTGTCTCCATCTAGACTGTTTTGGTGTGAGTCAGCCAGCTCTGTAGATATTATTAGCGGAGATGTCTGCTTTCTCTTGATTCTAATAGAAAGAAACGCTTCTCCAATTTTGGTATTTAAGGTGCCAAAAAGTTCATTTGGAAAAACTCAGCATTAATGTTTCTTTCCACAAATTGTGACCCAGTTACTCGGAATAAACACACCAACCTTGCAGTGAGCATTTTCATGCAGGGACTACTTTCTGTCTTGCAAACTATATCTGCCAGTCGTATCTGTGTGCAGAAAGAAGTCTGTCGTGCGCCAGTGACAGCGAGACAGGATGTAAAATTAATGGCATCCCCCCCCCTCAAGCTGAGTGGTAATGATAGCTCGCTGCTTGCTTCATTTATATGGAGGATGTAGGCAGTGGAAAGAAAACGTGTAAAAGGCTGGTATTGTTTAAAAATGTTTTCCTTTTCCTTTTTTTTTTTTTTTTTTTTGTTGTTGTTTGAGAACCACAAAGGAAGTGCCACCTAGTAGACTGATTCTTAAAACCACTACAGGCCAGAGGTGAAGAGTGTGGGCAGGGTGGAGTTGGCAGCCTCCCTCAAGATGCTCAGATTTGTTTGGTTGGGAGTGACCAGAACGGACATGACTAGAAATGAGTGTATCGGAGAGACGGCACAAGTGGAGCTGTTTGAGGATAAAGTTAGAGAGGTAGGATGAGATGGTTTGAAGAGTGGAGTTGAATATGGAGCTGCCAGACAGGAAGGAGAAGAAAAGACTGCTGAGAAGATTCATGGATGTAGTGGTTGGCGAGACAGAAAAGCATGCTAGACACTAGAGTCGAGAGGAAAAACATGTACATCTGATTACTGGGTTAAAAACAGTAACATGACGGTGATGCCTTCAGGTCAGGGGTGTGGAATAATGAGTCCCGGAGGCCAGAAGCCAGTTGGGTCCACTGGATCTGTATTTTCAAAAGTTTTCCAGCTTTTTCTGTTGGTAAATATTGATCTTCCCCACTGCCATTCACACTACATGAAATACTTATGTAATAGATTAATAATTAAGTGAGAGAAAAGTTTCTGTTTTTCCAGTATCTCCACATTTCTAATGCTGAACACTCAGTTTTCTTATATTAGGATAAGTCAGGGATTAAATGTTTAGTTGAATGCGTTTCCACCAACAGAAAGGGGAGTTTCACTGGTTCAGCCCACTTAAGATCAGAGTGGGGCATTTGTGATCCACGATGTAAAATTAGTTTGACATCTCCGCTTTAGGTTTCGTTGTTTGTTTAACCCACATTACAAATCTTTGTTATGTTCACTTTTGCTGTTAGCCTAACAAGCAGCAGTTACCTTCTGGAAATTACAGATACCATGCATGCATTCTGCTGCACTCCATGTGTGTTCTTTTAAAAAAGTGTTTGGCTTAATGACTTGACTTTGGTTTGAGGCCGGCTGAGACTCTATGGGAGGAAAAATTCTGGAGTAATTGTTGTGACTCAAATGATTACGGAACAGAAATTATAATACATGATGCACTTAAGTATATTTGTGATACGAATTGATTCCTCTCCATCATTTTGCCCTCCATTTCCTGCTCTAATATTCATTAATAAAGGGGATAATAAGCCCGTCTTGTGACTCACTGCTGGGGGAAAGAAATTCCACTTTGTAAGAAACAAAATTTACCACGTTCAACGCGCGAGACAGTTTCTGCATGCAAATGACGTCGACCTTGTGCCCCAAGATTGATTTATGTGTGTTCATTAGAGCCATATTATCATCTTCATTATGTGTACTTTTTAAATAATTAATCAGTTTTAAATGTCTGTTTAGCCCATGTGACCCGTGTTTGTTTTTATTTATTTGCCTGAAAGATTCATTCAGTTATACAGACTTGATATTTAGACCCACGGAGGGGCATCGCTGCAGATACATGAGGCCTTTTGATGAGGTATCGAAGAGAGTTATAACTCAAGGTCGCGAATTATCAAGACAGTGCCACTTAACAACCTTGAAATGAAAGGCGCCATTGTTAATAAGGGACATTTGAAAAGGATAATGAGTTGTAATGGGCTCCACCATTGTTAGTATGCAGACTGTGTCCCGACCAGTGATTGGTTTTGCCGGGAGCAGGTCTTAACACGTCGCACCGGTGCAGCCACACTAACCGTTCTCTAACCTTACGATTACACGCGTGTTTTATATTCATGTGCTTGTCATCCATGTCACATGCGATACAGAAATGAAGCCCAGGATTGACAGATCCATGTTTTATAAGCCTGAAATTTCCTCTGCTGTGAAAGTCACATGTGAGAAATTAAACTGAGTCAATAATCTCTCATTCTTCAGCTAATCGTGTGTGTTTGCTGCCTCCTACAGGCCACTGTAACAACATCCACTGCCTGGCCAAAGCAATCAACCAGATCGCTGCTGCTCTCTTCACCATCCACAAGGGAAGCATAGAGGACCGCCTCAAAGAGTTCCTGGCTGTAAGACACTGCATTTCTGTTACTCTTAGAGAACTTTACATTATAGCTGGGGTTTCTCTAGTTTAGCACTGCGCTGTGATGGCAGCTCTGCAGGGCATCATGTTTGTATTCTGACGTAGAAGATACGCAGAATAATTAGATTCATTTAAACTTATAGGGGGATATACAATCTCTCATCATAATGTCAACATCAAACATGCGAGGTAACAAATTAAAGGAAAAACCTACAACTGAGGTATTCGGTGACTATTATATGGCTTGGAGCCGTTATTCAGGTCCCCTTTCGAAGTTATCCTGATCAGCTCTGTCCTTTGATGAAACCTTTTTATCCTAAAGGGAATGGTCTCTTTGACGATGACAGTGTCCCAGACCTTGGGTCATGGACTCACTGAATGGTTTGATGTGTATGAAAATTATGTGATGTAAGCAATGACCTTCATAGTCTTTAGATCTGAGTCCAGCTGAACATCTATGTGAGCTTTTTGGTCGACACCCTTATCAAAATACCAGGTATCTTTCAGACAAATGAGTTTCATCCCTCGAGTTACAGCAACTTGCAGAATCTATTTCAAGGAGAACTGAAGGGCTTATGGAAGGAAACTGTTGTCCCTAGAAGACTTTGTATTGTTGCTCGTTATTACCAACAGTCTGTGTTATAAGAAGTACAGAGTAGACAAGCAGTCATGAAGTGCTTACATGTCTTTGAAGCTCCAGTAATTATGCAGTTAAGTCAGATTTTCTTTAATAAATTTGGAAATGGTGTGTAATTTCCCAATTTTGGTCAAGAAATTCTAAAGTTTAGTTAAAACTGATACGAAAACAAAACCGAAGCTTGACTTGAGAGACTCTTAACATCAGTCTGTAACATGTTTCTGTGTAGCTGGCCTCATCCAGCCTGCTGAAGATCGGTCAGGAAACGGACAAGATGACGACACGTAACAGAGAATCTGTCTACCTGCTGCTGGACATGGTAAGAAAACTACGTACAGGAGACTTTATCTGTCGAGACTTGTTCCTCTTTTAAAAGTAAAACATCCTAAAAAGCAACTATCAAAGCTATATCAGGATGTGGGGGAAAAAAAATGGATTCAAGTTGAAGTGCAGAACTATTTTTAACATTCAAGTTTACTTCTGAGTATTACCGTATATTTCCAATCGTCTAAGAGTTGTTCTGCATTTCGTTTCTGCTTCAGATTGTGCAGGAGTCTCCCTTCCTCACCATGGACCTGCTGGAGTCCTGTTTCCCTTACGTCCTGTTGCGAAACGCCTACCACGCCGTCTACAAACAGAGCATCAGCGCTAATGCATAGACACACACACAGACACTAACCACACAAAGGCATACCTTATAGTCTGCTATTGAATGGGGGTACAGACAAAACAAATACACACTACCAGAGTACACAAAATCCAAACTAAACACACTAATCTATGCCTACAAAGCCTCAGCGTGTTCGGACAAAAAAGCAACACTGTCGGCATTTAACACTAAACGCGTAGCATTGAAAGCAAATCCACTCAAAATATAAGAAGAGCGTATGAAACACAAGTGCTCAAATTAAAAAGAGGAGGGGAAAAACACAACATATGAACAGAAACACGAGCTGGATGAAGTTGGGGGATCAGTGTCTTTATTTTAATCGTACCGTTTCCATGATGTTGCCAGGGACCACGACCATAGCAACACAAAAAATACATAATGTTTGGTTGGTATAAAGAACAAAAGTATAAATATATAGTATATATATATAGTTGACACTAAAATATTTTTTTTTCTCCTTTGTTTTTTTTTTTTGTTTTGTTTTGTTTTTTTTTAATTTTGCAATGAAAGTTTTGAGAACTTTAGTGGCCAGCTGATAACTACTATGTGGTGATGGATTTTTGGATGCTTACTTTGAGGATGCAAATGATTCTGATGTTTTTGTGGGGTTTATTATTATTCTTATTATATTTCTTTTATGGATGCGGGGTGAGGATTCCTGTGTTGATACTGAAAGACATGTTGCTCGTTAATCTGAGTTTACACACGCGTACAGATACACAATCCTGAGCAGATCTACGGTTCCAAACACTAATCTTCGACCATTTCCTAGCAAACAAACACACACACACATATTCAGATGGACACACACTTGTATAACATGGTGATGTTTTCTTTCTTTTTTTTCTAGCTAGTCGTAACATGAACATTTTGTGGGTAAAGATATAATATCTGTATTCTACTTTGATGTGAAGCTGTCTGTTTTTAATGTTTATGTTTTGTTATTTTTATGACGACGACAATGACGATTTGCCAAATGTGTTGACACTAAAAAAAAGAAAAGTGTGTATCAGGGCTTGGAAGGATTGGAGTGTTGACAAGTGGTGAGAAATGCCATTTTTTTGGGCGTTTTCAGTGTTTGACGCCAGCTCTGCGGCAGCTCTGTTAAACTCTTACAGTGGGAACAAGCAAAAGAAAACACTTGCAAGTATTCCCCTCAGCTCCCCTGACTGACGCTGCAGTAGGTGCTACATGTTGTCTGCGGTAGAGTAAAACTACAAAATAACCCCTAATCAGAACGAGTCCACTCGTGGCTCCTGGAAAGGAGCTTCGTTGTTCTTTTGAAGCCCTACTGAAGCAGCTGGGGGAAGCACGCCTTACTCAAAGGCACCTTAGCAGCAGCTGATGATAGCTGACCATCTATAGTCCAGTTATATAACTGTTTAACTTTAATACTAAGGTCATTTTAACCACCTAACACTAATAAAAAATCTTAAGATGAACTGGAGCTGCAATAAGAATAAAAAAAAAAAATTATTATTATTCACCCTCAGTGCCGATTTCACTGGATTTGCAAATTCTGGTTGAAGGGGCATCCACCAATGACTCTTACATATTTGCGACGGTTGTGTGGGACCTTAAAGGACAGATGGACAACTTTTACAAAGTGCAGTCTGATTTTTATTTCCTTCCTCAATCAGAGCACAGCAGGGGCTACGTAACGAGACACAAACCTTACTCTCCTTAAGTTAGCCCTTTGCTAGTGTAATACTAACCCCAGGGCTCTGTCTGAAGGTTCATTCTGCATACTACTCATGACTTTTAACCACTGCTGGAGTTATTCTGCAAGTGGCTGCAAAGTGAAGTCATATTTACAGAACGTAGCAGGAACACAGAAAAAAAATGTTCAAAAAGGTGTTTCTTCAGTGGCGAGTCAGTAGTTTGCATTATGAGCTTGTAAGGACAGATCTGTGGACACATTCTGCCATTTGATGTGGAATGGTTGCTGTTTTACTTTATAACTTCTTTTTTTTTTTTTTTTTTTTTTTTTTTTTTTTGTGTTTCTGATTCCAACTTGTAACTTAAAATGACATGAATAAAATAAACTTTAGGGCTGTGTCAGACCTGAACTCTGAGTGTGTGCCACTACCTGCGATGAATGAGGTAAAAACCAGTAAGTATGAACACACAAGGGTAATTCAGTCAGGTGACAAGTTAGACTTTACGCAGCAGGTAACCAAGCTACTCAGGACTCCTGCAATGATCTACAAGTAAACTGTTCAAAAAAATCAATAATAAGATGTTGCTTTTTGTTACTTCATGTTATTTTATTCAATTATTCAAGATTTTATGGCATTCCTAACAAAACTACTTTGGTAGCCTTGCAGTGTCATAGAAAAGCCACCAGGAGGCATCCAAGATGAAGACAAAAAGTATACAGTAAATTCCTGGTGGCTGAGGGTGTAGCATATATGTCGTCAAATTTGACAAGTTATTGCAGTTATTTATAAGTGCCGGTGATGCCGATCACGTACACAGCAGAAAAGCATATGGTAATAAAAAAACATAACTCATCTTCAAAGTAATCCATTATAATAATACGTGGTACATTTAGTAATTCCTCATCAAATCCAGTTTATTTGAAGAAAAACAAAAGTAGATGTAGACAAATGTATCATGATGCAGAATTGCAGCAAATTAAAGTGGCAGTTTCCAGTGCTTGGATGCAGATTTTTGAAACCATTCAGTGAGTAAAATGATGAAAAGCTATAATAAGTGATTTGATTCCTGCAGCAACAAACTGCAGGAATCAAATCTCAAGAACACTTTTAAAATTAAATGCAACACAGAACTTTTACATGGTGTGCAGTTTAAAAAGACACAGAAAGAAGGGGGAGGGACAATGACCTTTGCACCTGAGTGTAGCCAGTAATATTTGTGCTTTTCCAGTTAGATGGCAGAATGTTTGAAGAATGTCTTATAAACCTTTAGGGTCAACCTGACAATCAATGCAACCTTCGATCAAAATACTGCAATATTTATTGCAGTATTTTGTGTGTTTAAGATATGCTTTGCCTACAAGCTGCAATCTCACAGTGGACATTTTGAAAACTTCTGGTGGGAAATGTATGCAAATTAAAATTAATACATGTATAAATACATATTTGAAAATCCTCCTAATGACGTAGAAGAGAAGTTGGATGATAACATTTTTGCTATATTTTCATTTATTCTATATTTTTGAAATTTGCCAACTGTGTATTAGATCCCATGTTATATCTAGTTGCTATCCATTGTAGTTAATGTAATCTAGGTAGAATTAAATGTACCTAGATTAATTTCCTCCTTGATATTTAAAAACTTTAAAATGATATAAAATGTATAAACAAACAATTGTATAAACAATTTTCCTTCATATATTAAGACAAGCTTGAGATGATAATGTTTCGCTTCCCACCAGAAGCATTTAAAAGTCATCTGGGACAGTTTAAGGTTCTTTTTTAAATCACTTCTGTTTAAGGAAAAAACATATTTCTGCCCTTATTTATGAACTAAATCTGAGCTCATTTTAATTGTTATGTACTTGGGTGTTAGTTGTGGTCAGGTGACTGTCAGCTGGGCTGTTCCCCTTTTGTTTAAAGTGAAGGAGGAGATGCTGGTTGAACACGTTTCTTTACCTACTGTGATTAAAACCTTAACTGAGCTTTCTATAACCTCCACACAGGTCAGCTTTCCCAACAAGCCCGGACATGCACAGTAGGTGCTTGACTTGGATGGAGATGGATGTTTGAATCCGTCTTGGGGTTTGTCCAGAATATCCACAAATAAATTTGGCCGCCTGTTCAGTGCTGAGGTTTCTCTGCTGGACTAGTCGTCCTGAGCGCTGCCTTCCTCCTCTTCCTCTGGCACAGAGCTTTCCAGCTTACCTGCACAGACACACGCGACAAATGTACCAAAGTCTGCTGAGTAAATTTCAGTTTCTACTGTATTCGAATGATTCTCATACACCTTGAAGGTGTATGCATTTAATTACCTACGCAATGAAAAGAAACCATTACATGATCATAATATTGTCATTTAATTAACTTGAGTGTAGCACTTCAATCTTTTGAAAAGCTTTCTGTCGTGTTGTCAAAACACTAGAGAAGCTCGTGTTTTGACAAAACAAGAGAAGCTTTATATATTAAATACTTAATGAACGACAGCTTTACAATGTTATTGTTATAAAGTCGATGTCTTTGGCTTCTGACTACTGAAATACATTCATGTTCAGTAGCACAAACGACTCAGAAACATATTTAGAAATGGTAAATGGCCTATATTTGTATAGCACTTTACTAGTCCCTAAGGACCCCAAAGCGCTTTACACATCCAGTCATCCAC